TAATGTACTCAGCTTCTAAGAGATGAGAAGCATGATAAATTTGGGAGAAGAAGGGTCATTATTTTTTTTCTTTTTTCTTTTTTTTTTTATAAAGGAAAAAAAGGACATTGGTTTTGATTTTTTTAAAAAGATGTCTAAACATGTCTTTGGTTTGCCTATAGATTTTTTTTTTTTCATTTTCTTAAGCTCTAATATTGTTAAGGAAAATAATTTGTATACCTTTTAATTCAACACACCTATCAGCATCTACCGATTCAACCATTAAATTATGCAATTGAAATGTTTCCCGACTTTAATTTAAATTTAAAAATAATAATTTCTTAATGAATATGTTGTGAAATATGTTAAATTATATGATGTACCAATCATTCTCCCATTATTAATTATACTACAAGATTTTAAATTTCTTAAATTTATTTATCTTAAAAATAATCAAAATAGATGTGTATATATATACATATAGAAATAGACTCATGCAATGCATGGCTCAAAAAGAGTGTTTAATCTATGTTGTAATTATATATTTAAAACAATATTAAAATAGGAATAAACACATTAAATGACAAGTGGACAACAAAATTAGAATGCGCTAAATTAGTAATTAGGTCTACTAAAATTGAATGTAGGGACTAACAAATTGGAAATACTATAGTTATAATTCCACATAAAATTATAAGTTTATAATTATGATGGTATTAAATGAGTTTAACTTAATATTAAATGAATAGATACATATAGTATTATGGATGGATTCTAAACAAAAAGAATCAACTATATAATAACATATCATATTTTAAGTTTATAATATCATGTAACATTTATTACGCCCCAACCCAAAAGGTCAAGCCATGACAAAAACCACACATGAATAGGGATGACCCTATAATCATATAAGGCAGATGATGAAGTCAAATCCAAAGGTTTCCTAAGCCACCATAAAATTCTACTTCCGTCTCATAATATTTCCACTTAAAAATTGAAAGCCAACGAGTCGTCGTCACCAAAAGTTCCATAGTCCATAATAGGTCAAAATATAACCTGAAACTAAAGCTAAGAAATTACTTCTCTCAATTCCAAATGCAACCCCAATGCTTGCTGTGATATTTCGAATTTTCTGAATATCTTAAATGTTAGGTGGATTTAATTGAAAAAAAAAAAGGGGGGAAAGTTTTGAATATGTACTTGAATATTGGTAGAGTGAGATTAAATTAAAATGGGGTTTATTTATGGGTCTATTTGGCTTGGGCTTATACTTAACTGACCAGATTTTTAGTCCTTAAAATTTTAAAGAGATGTGGCAGAAAATCTTAACAACACTAGAAACATTTTCTGCTCCTTATTTTGTGGGCTTAATCTCTTATTTAGTCCTTATCTTATAAATTTTAAGGTTATTAACCCCTCACCTAAAAACTTAAGGGTATTAGCCCTTAATAATATAATTTGGAGAAATTCACCATTATTCAATAGATTTTAATGTTATACTGTTAGTCAAACGCTATTTTCATCATAATCAGTGATGCATTCAGCATCTCTATCTTACCTGGCATTCCACTATGGCAATGCCACACTATGTCATAATATTTTTATAAAAAAGCTTGTTTAGAATTTCAACAAAGATAGATAGTTTAACTTTATTAGAATAAGGTCCATATTATATTGAAGGAGAAATTTTTGTTGATTGCCATGGTGGCATACCACATAGAATAGAAATGTTGATTGTGTCGTTAACTAGGATGGAAATAACATTTGATTAATGGTGTGAGATTAAATTCCGTTAAATAGAAGTAAATCCGCCAAATCATATTGTTAAGGGGTTAATATCCTTAAATTTTTAGGTGGGGGTCAATAATCTTAAAATCCATAAGTTAAGGGGCTGATTAGGGCGTTTGGCCTATTTTGTACATAGACACCATCTCGATCTCTCTCTCTTCCAATTCTTCCTTCCATCGTCGATCATTCTTCAAACAGGTGAAGTTTCCCCATTTTTTTCTTGTGAATATTCCATGAATGTTCATGAATTTCTTCTAACCTATAGGTTCTAATGCAAAATCTTATTTTAATTTGGGGCAGGACATTTTCTCTTTCGACTCGAGTTCTAACAAGAATTTCCGGTTCTGGACGTTCACTACACCATTTCCCCTTGTTTGATCTCTTTTCTCTTATTTTTCCTTTTTTACTCGATTTTATGTTCTCTAAATGTCGGTGAATTAGGGAGAAGGACGAGGGCTTGATCCTGTTTCTATGGGTCTTGGTGGGTACTACAGACCTGTTACCGGCAATCCAAGAAACAAAAAAAAGAAAAAAAAAAAAAAGAAAAGAAAAAAGAACAAGAAGCCCCCTAATTACGGAAACTACTGCTATTTATAGGAGAAGAGAAGAAACCCTACGATCTAACCTCACCTCCCTCATCACAGCCCTCCGATTTTACCTCTTTTAATTTCCACCTACGATCATAAGAGCCAAGAATCGACCTCTGCTTTTGCCCCGATAAGCGCACTGGTTTCAGCAGTAGAAAGTAAAGGACGACTGGCTGAAATCTTGTCCCTTGCGCGGGGTTGACGGCCAGTGGGGTCATCTAGTTGAAGTCGGAGAGGACTGGGATAGTTAGAAAGGTTAAGTGAGTGGGATGATTTTTGATCTGGTTTGTATGCAGCATAGAAAGCGGACGAATCTTAGTCTATAGACGAAAATCTTTGCAAAGATATAGTTTGTCTTATATTTAAAACTTCTAGTATTGTTACGTGAAAGTCTATTTTCTTTGTGTTAAAAAATCAAGATTTCATTAATTTGTGACAGGTTGTATAGTTTTCCTTCATATCTATCTTTGTTCAAATTGTAAGATTTTTATCTTGTTTATTTTTCACTTGGTGTCAAACTACATTAATATAGTTGTGTTAAAGGTCAAGACTTTCCAAATTGCTATCTTTTTCCCATTTACGTAGCTTTGCCTTCTTGTTGACTAACTTGGTTAAAAATTATTTACTCATTTATCTTTTGTTAACATTTGATTTCCTTGTTCTGTCTTGTATTTATTTACTTATCCGTTTTCTATCTACTCATTAATGTTATAATATCTATTTAGCTTTTCTCAATACTTATTATTGTTTATATTTATTACTCTGTTAGATACTATTTACTGCTACTATTGTTATATTATTATATTATTATATTATCTATTACTATATTTTGACTTAGTCAAAAATTTTATCTTTGTAAAAATATATATGAGTTTAGAATATTTAGATTTAGCTATTTCACATCCATATAAAAAACCAAAGATAACTTTAGATAAACATAATATAGTGTATAGTTTTCCAAATTTTAGTCATAATTTACATTTAGATAATAGTCAATTAAATAATATTGTAGACTTAATTATAAATTTTATAGAAAATTATAAAAAAAAAAGAAAAAGAAAAAGTAGTGCTCGAAAGGTTCCAAACTTTGAAAAGCATTACAACAAAAATATTGTAAGAGTAATTAGAAATTAAGACTACCTACAACAACAAACTGAATTTGTCAAAAACAAAGTCAATTTAGTTAATTCTCAAATTTTGAATAAACGAGAGTCAAATCCTTTTGTTCAAAATCTCTATCATCAAATAGTTACCTTGATCCAAAATCAAGAAGATTTGTTAAAACAAGTCCATAAACTTCTAAAATTAATTCTTGGTTTGAATGGATGAAACCCTTTTCACTTAAAATTCAAACTATCAGGAAGCATTAAAAGAAGCAAGAAAATTAGGAAATCCCTATGGATTAACCAATTTTTAACCCTTAGTAGTCCAAGGTTAGGTATTAATAGGACAACAAAATACCCAAATTATTTTGCTACTACAAATGCTTGAAAATCAAGAAGAAATCTTAAGTGAAATAAAAGACTTAAAAGATCTTTTAAAAGACACTCATTCAAGAATAGTGGAAATATTTCAAGAGGCTAAGAGACAAGATCTTCTCTAGGAAGCAAGTGAGAAAATTGATATGGTAAGAACCATTGATATAAAAGAGGATCTCAGACAAATAAAATCTAATTAAAGAACTTAAAGTCTCAAGAAATTACATTATATTACCTTAAAATCCAAAATCATGGAATCATCTAAAATCATAGGCAACCCTTTAATTAAGATGTTTTCTAAGGGAAAACACATTCAAGAATCTGTAAAAGTTTAAACTTTAATAGATCTTAAAGAACAAATAAAAAGATTCAAAACTCATAAATTTGACTTGGTCAAACCCAAGTATTTTTATGAAAATGCCAATCCATTGTTTAGTGTTGGATCAATCTTTCAACATTATTAAGAAGTTCAAATATTCTGTGTCAAATATAGTGATAGTGCTACCCTAAGACTGTTAAGTGAAAATGGATATTTTAATCTCGAAAGAACGAAATATTCATTGGTCCACATAAGGTTAATCACTATAAGAGTTAAAACCACTTCATAGGAAAGGTCTAGGTACAAAATGCCTTTTAATCCTTTTAGACACAAGACATCAGGATATGATTCAAGCCCTTATAGGATCTATCGAAATAAATCTATCAAAATAAGGGGGATTTGCTTACTTACTCCCAATTTCCAAATGGGCATAAAAGCCTTTAAGTAATTTATAAAAGTAGGAATCATGACTAAAGGCTATTTTTTTTTTTTTTTGTATTAACCTTCCGTTATCCGGTAACCATTGTAATATCCCAAAATTTCTAGAATATTAAAGTTGAGTTGGGGACTAATTTGTGAGGAAATATTATTAATGGCCTTAATAATAGAAACTTTCAAAGTTCAGGGACTTAGAAGAAAGGAAATAGGATAAGGATTGACTGATTTTTTTTTT